GCGAGCGTAGGAGGCTATGCCAAAGTTATTTGCCAAGACTTGATGAATTATTGAGTACAAGTAGGCAGCTTTCGAGCAAGCCATTAGGTGACCGGCGCGGTCTGAGCAGCCAGCCATTTTGGCACGGCACAAGGTGACCATAGCGGTCTAGGCAAGTTTAAGGTTCATTGGAACCTGTCCCATTCTTATAGCACACACAGCGCATACATGCAAACGAGGCGAAGTCTTCCTAGGTGTTTCTGATGAGGTTCGGCTTCATCGGTTCTCGTCCCCTTCATTTGGTTCCCTTTTCATCCTTTTTCCCCTTTACACACCTTTGGTTTCCTCTTTTCTTTCATGTCCTCCTGTCTTCATGTCTGGTCATCTCATCCTTTGCTTCGTTTGCGCGCACATTGGTCCCGGCCTTACGTGCACTTCTACATACATTTTAAACACAGGTTTCAGGTTGCTGAGGTCTTTACAATGAGGTGGGGTTCATCGGTTGTCCCTGTGCATTTGGCTTCTCTTTCATTGCAACCACACACCTTTTTGTCCCGTCTTGTCATCCTTCTCATGTCTTCATCCTTTTGTCTTTACCGCGCGCACATTTACACGACCGTCCTAGCCTTACTTCTTTTTGCCTCTGTGTCCTGTCTGGAGTCACGAGGTTCCTTTTGGACTGTTTTGTTTCTTGATGTTCTTTTAGCAGGGGGATGGGACACCACTGGCATTTCCCGTTCAACGAAGAGGGTGCCAGTAGGTGCTGATGCAGTGGGAAACGCCCCACTGCGTACCTGCTCTAGGTTTTAAGTTTGTGTTTGTGTCTGGTGAACCTGTAGCGCTGGCCTCAAACCTGGTGCGATGGCCTCCACGCACTAGAAATGACCCCCAACCTTGTTGTTTTGCTGGTGCTTTTGTCAACTTGTAGCGCTGGCCTCCAACTTGGTACTCTGGCTTCCAACCTACTAGCGATGACCTCCAACCTTGTTGCTTGGTGTCGCTTTCAGCTTGTGCACCTAACCTACTAGCGATGGCCCCTCAACCTGCTTTCGATGGCCTCCAACCTTAGAGCGACGACCTCCAGCTTTTTTGCCTTGGTTTACTCAGTTTTTTTAAACTTATGTTGCCATGTCGCGAGCGGCATTCGAGTCCGTACGCATTTCTATAAGTGTGTGTGTGTGAGTGAGTGAGTGAGTGAGTGAGTGAGTGAGTGAGTGTGGGTGTGAGTGTGAGTGAGAGCGTGAGTGAGAGTGAGAGAGTGAGACAGTGAGAGGGTGAGAGTGAGAGGGAAAGTGAGTGTGAGTGTGAGAGTGAGAGTGAGTGGGTGAGTGTGAATGTGAGTGTGAGTGTGAGTGAGTGTGAGTGAGAGTGAGTGTGAGTGAGAGTGAGTGGGAGTGAGTGTGAGTGAGGATGAGTGAGAGTGAGTGTGAGTGTGTGTGTGTGTGCGTGAGAGAGTGAGAGCGAGTGAGGGAGTGTGAGTGTGAGCGTGTGTGAGTATACGAGTGTGAGAGCGAGAGGTGAGCATCTGAGAGCACAGAGTGCTGCGCCTGCCATGAAATCTCCACTTCGAGGTTCACCAAGTGCTGTGCCTGCCACGAAATCTGCACGCCTGCCACGAAATCTGCGCTTCGAGGTTCACAACGTACTGCACCTGCTACGAAATCTGCACTTCGAGGTTCGCAAAGTGCTGTGCCTGCCACGAAATCTGCAAAAGAACCACATGTTGAAAAGCCACTGCACCTGTCACGAAATCAGAGCCCCTCGAAAGATCACCACCATGTCCAAAGTTATCACAATTTTTTTAATCAAATTTTCATTCATTACATATTGTTTTCTTACGTTCATTCACCCCAAAAAGATTGTCCACAGTTTTAGTCATTAGACTGTGTTTCCTCAACTCTCCTCACCAAAACTTTTGTCCACAGTTTCAGTCATTAGACTTTGCTTCCTGAACTCTCCTCACCAAAACTTTTGTCGGACGGGAAAACAATCGACATCCCACGAAGTTCTAAGATCTGTGGCGTGGTTACAAGCTTCAGTGACGACTTCTCTTGCAAACAGCACAACCTGAGGAAGCATCCCGCTAATCATTAGGTGGTTTGTTCCTCTGGCTCCTGCTGCTCCACCGACTCTTCGTCCTCGATGACTACATCCTGCGGGTGAGTCGGATCTAGGGGCATAGTCGGTCATGACTTTCCCGCAAGCAGCACGACCCGAGGAGCATCCCGCTAAGCAGTCAGTGGTTTGCTCCTCTAGCTCCGGCGGCTCCACCGACCATTCTTCGTCCTCGATGTCTGGAACACCATCAAGTTCGGATGCGGCCAGTCTGCGGAGAGATATTTCCAGGCGTCTTCCTCGATCGTGTCATCGCCGCAGTCCTGAAGGAGAGCAGACGGAGTTGTGCGTAGGTTTATGCAGAAGTACTGCTGAACGTTCACTGTAAGGCTAAATTCTAGCAGCAATGAGGCCACTGGAAAAACAATAGGGTCCACACAGGGTCACGGTTCTGGCCTCAAATTCGACACCTTCCTCCAACATCCGAGGTCCAAGGTACCGCCATACGCACGTGCTCAACAAGCGTCCTTGAGCCGAAAGATGCGTTCCGTGAACGTGTCCGAGTCCGCTCCATTCGACTCAGGTAGATCCACGATAGCTATCACTCTTCTGGCTAAAGTTAGCACTCTCTGCCTACTTCGGCACGCCTAGGAACCAGCCAGTCCTGGGTTTGCGCCTGGACTTCTGGATCTTCTGGTCCACCGTACTCGCATTACACGCTAGTCGGGTCCACAGTTTTAGTCATTAGATTTTGCTTCCTGAACTCTCCTCACCAAAAAAATTTACCCACAGTTTTATTCAATAGATGTTGTTTCCTTACTTTCATTCACCCCAAGAAGTTTTGGCCACAGTTTTAGTCATTAGATTTTGTGTCCTCAACTCTCCTCACCAAAAGTTTTGCCCACACTTGGATGATTTTTGTCCAGGTTTAATTCCAAAAGCATCACAAATTAGTGCAAAACATTGCAAAAACATGCAAAAATATGAAAAGGTCATCAAAAAAACGTAAAAGTGATATGCACTTTGTATGTAGTTTGTATGTACTTTGTATGTACTTTACATGTAGTTTTCAAAACTACATACAAACTACATATGGCGATATGTACTTTGTATGTAGTTTTGGAAAACTACATATAAAACAACATACAAAGTACATACAAACTACATACAAAGTACATATCAATTTTAAGTTTTTTTGAAAAACTTTTCATTTTTGCATATTTCTGCATATTTTTGCATATATTTGCAATGTTTTGCACTAATTCGTGATGCTTTTGGAATTGAACCTGAACAAAATTATCCAAGTGTGGGCAAAACTTTTGGTGAGGAGGGTTGACGAAGCAAAATCTAATTGCTCAAACCGTGGACAAAAATTTTGGGTGAGGAGAGTTGAGGACACAAAATCTAATGACTAAAACTGTGGCCAAAACTTTTTGGGGTGACTGAAAGTAAGGAAACACAATCTAATAAAAAAAACTGTCCACAGTTTTAGTCATTAGATTTGTTTCCTTAATTTCCCTCACCCCAAAAGGATTGTCCACAGTTCTAGTCATTACATTTTGCTTCCTTTCTCTCACCCAAAACGTTTTTCCACAGCTTTAGTCATACGATTTTGTTTCCTGAACTCTCCTCACCAAAAATTTTAGCCCACAGTTTGATTCAATAGATTTTGTTTCCTTGCTCTCATTCACCCCAAAAAGTTTTGGCCACAGTTTTAGTCTTTAGATTTTGTGTCCTCAACTCTCCTCACCAAAAAAATGTCCACAGTTTTAGGCATTTGATTTTGCTTCCTCAACTCTCCTCATCAAAAACTTTTGCCCACAGTTTTAGTCTTTGGATTTTGTTTCCGCACTGTCCTTCTCCCCCCAAAAAACATTTTCCCTGTCCTGTTCCTCTCTCTCTTCCTTTTCTTGTTCCTTTTCCTCTTCCTTTTTTTGCCATGTTCCTCCTCCTTTTTCCTTTTCCTTTTCCTTGTTTTTTTCCTCTTCCTTTTCCTGAATTATGACAGACCCTGATGCCACAGAGAAGAGAAACAAATATGTGGGATTGAAATTTCCCAAGAATTTCACATTGACACCTTGAGGTGGATTTGTGAAAGTATTTGTAGAACATATGTGGCACATGAATTTGTGCTAAATGTATTTGTAAATGTATTTAATTGAATACATTGGTCAGAACATGAAAACTGTGGCCCAGATGTATCTGTGTTGCCACATGTTGGCACACATTCTTTGGGAGATGTTGTGGCACACATGAATCAGAACTACTTGGGGAAGTGAAAACATGCATTGTTCTTTGCATGGGGAAGTAAAAGCAAGTGTCTTGACAGCCCATGTGGTGAACCATTCTGATGTTATTTTCTAGAACAACTGCAGAAACTGTGAGGTTATTCTTAAGAATAACCTCAGAGGTTATTCTTAAGAATAACCTCAGTGAGGTTAGAGTTAACCTCAGGAAAAAATAACCTCAGGTTGTTTTTAACCTCAGCTGATCTATAGGGTAAAAACTGCTTCAGCACAAAGTTAGGGTAAGTCACAGACTAAACATAATTGCACGGGGGTGATATGTCATTGCTCAGACCACCATGTCCAAAAATGCGCACGGCGCCACAACGAGAGCGCAGTCGCGAGAAGCACTCGCTCCAGCAGTCGAAATGCACTTCGAGGATTTCGAGAGGCATGAATGTACTGTAAATAGCAGCGAAATAGCCGGACACGGCCGCGCGGCACAGCTGCTTTACCATCACCGTAAGAACCCCTGTTCACACTGTTTAGGGACAAAAGAGTATGTCGATGTCGAGGGTCCAAAGCGCTGCTGTGGACGGTTCGACGCCTACTATGAAGGGCCCAAGGATTCTTAGGGCTTAACATCATCTTGGATTTGCTTAATTCAGGAACCGGAAAACATCATTTCCAGAAGGGGATTCACCCACAGGGAAAGGTAGGAGCATCTTGCAACCCAAGAACCGATGCAAAAGATGCACATCACCTCAGCCGTCGTGGCCGCGTGCCCAAAGATGGCCCTTCACGAGGCAGGATCACAGCACTCAAATGCACCGGAATAGATTCGAAGAACAATCTTCGGTATATTTGCCCTGGAATTCCAAGAACATCCAAGAACCATGGTCTTCTACCCTCCACACCCATGTTTCTGAACCCGTGGTCTTCCCGTGTTTTGAGCGAACTAGGTTGGGGTGTTCACCTGAACCCTTCGTGGATGTCCAAACCCTGCAGTGTTGAACGGGACCCGTGCGGGTCGCTGTGCTGGACCCGGACTCACATACGAGGAATGAGCTGCTGCTGGACTCAACACCCCCAAAAAGGAACACCTCGCAGTTCCGGTGGCTTAGAGACCCATTTTGGGGTGGCACATTTTGTTGACCATCCAACAACCAGGTCGTGCTGGGTTGGTTGCTTGGTCTTCGGCAAGTCTCTCTTGTCTTGATTGCTTGGGAGAAGGAACAAAGCCCACGTGGCACATGTTGGTTTTTGCAAACAGCCTTTTGAAGCGATCGCTTCTTTTGAAGCTATCGTGCCAACCTGTAAACTCTGCATCCATGTATGGATTACATAATACATACAGTAACTATCATGCATATAGTTTATATACTATATCTACAATATTTATACCACATATACTGAATATATATTACTATATATATATATCATTTTACTCATGTTTAATCGTTTTGTCATTTATGATCCTAATTCAATGCGTCAGTAGCTATTCCATACATGGATGGTCTGGATTGGAAGAACAATATACCGATAAAAACTACCGATGTATACCTTCAAGCCTTCAACCCTCCACTATCCTCTACCAAACCGAGCTTGTTCATGGATGACAAACCCATGATAAGCCATGTTTTTGGGTCACTTGTATTGAATTAAAACAAAACACACACACACACTTTTCGGTGCCAAAGCCGAGGAAAGTCCACACCGACGGCTGACGTGTCCGCCGAGGGCCCCGGCCCGACCAAAGCGAAACTCCGAGAGCCAGGCATAGGCCTGGCCCGGTGCAGCCGGTGCAGCGGTGACTCGAACGTGGATTTTTCATCCGGAACAGGAAGTAAGAAACATATCAGATCATATCCAGGGAGCTGGAAGAAGTGATTTCATGTTATTTCTGCGTTTGTTCGGCGGATGTTGTGCGGAAATGGTCCGTAGTTAGGCAGCGATAGTTTTAAGAGTTGACAGTTTAACGATAGTTTAAGTTCATGTTTATGCATATGTTTACACTCCACCAAGTCAAAGCACCGTGCACTCAATGGCGAATCCAATTCGATCAAACCCTGCGACTCCTCAGGAACAACAACAACAACAACTACTACTACAACGGGATACAACAGCTGGATACAACTGGCAAGGGAGGCTTCATAAGTTATGGATTAATAGATATAATATGGATGTGATGCTTAATGGTTGTGGAATAGTTGTGGTGTCGTACTGTTTCATAGAGAAACTACTAATAACTATATCCACAACTATATCCATAGAGAATATGAATAGTTGTGGTTTCATACTGTTTCAAACGATCATGGACCCCGAATCTGGAGGGGTCAGGGGTTCCTTCGTTGGCCTCGTCCAAAATGGCTGAGCTTCGCCACCTTCGTCCTCCAGGGCCCCTCTTCTCCACCTTCGAAACAAAGCATGCCTAACCCTATGTCACCGCCCTACCACCCTGAGCCCCGCCCTACCACCCTGCCACCCTGCTGATGTCTGCCCCATGGGACTCTTAGAGGGATTGAAGTTGTACCATATAACCTACTTTTCGTTGTTCACTTTGGGCTATCCCCTCTCTCTCTCTATATATATATATATCCCAGACACGACCCATGGGACTGCCATAGGACTGCCGATCAGTTGGGGTGGTTTGGGGGGTCAATGTAGGCATATATGGCATACATGGAGTGTCTGGGTATATATATATATACATATATCTATGTACGAAATCAACCCACCAAGGCTTAGGCCTTGTAACTGGTATGCTGCCAGCGCCTCGTCTTCCGTCAGCTTTTGGATGCGACCTTCTAAAGGGCCTGTCTCATGCAACACGGCCTTAGTCGCGATCTGTCACGAAGGGGTCACGGCTTCGGCAAGGAACAAATCATGTACTGTGTCTAATGGCGACACGGACTCCAAACGTTCAACGGATCAGGATACTTTGTGATAATCTTTAGTCAGTCTTCTATAAGGGTCTTTTCTCCGAAATCACTGTTTTCGTTGAACACCATACCTACTACAATCCACAAAATACAAGTTTTCGTTGAAATCACTTTAATACCAGCCACAGCGAGCAGCGAACCCCCGCCCCACCCGGCCCCACGTCTTCGCCCAATCCCAGTCGCACGAGCCCGGGAGGCGATTTGCAATCCCATCTTGAAGGACAGGAACGGCGCAGTGACCTGCGGCGCAGTGTCCACGGTTCTGCCCGGGACCCTCAAGTATCGGGACCCGTTCCTAGTAGACTACGCTGTTGCTTCGGGGTCAGAGGCTGTGACCCCTCTGAAAAAGAGGCTGCGACCCCTGCGAAGAGGGACAAAGAAGGTCCGTGGGAACTCCCGTACTGGGCGCGAACGAGCCATCCGGCTCACATGAGCCATCACTCCCTGAGCTGGTGCTATTCCTATCTTCCCTCGCCTTCCAAGACCATTAAACACATCGACCAGTGTAAAATTCATAGTAAAACAATTGTTTTGGCGCGCGGTTGGAATCCATGCTTTGTCTTCAAGTTCACCCGACCTTGATCCTGCGGGACTAGACTAGACCTTGGGTTCTTTGCTGAGCAAATGTCCATCTTTTTGTCCAGACCAGCAAACGCGGTGCAGTTCAGTTTCGCTGAAAGCCTCAGGCATCTGCAGAAGCTTGGATTCTGGATGGCTGGATCCCATCATGTCAGAGCCTCACAATCATCGTCGTTCGCGCTCCTCTGGGCTTTCACATCGATGTCATATTCAGCCATGACAACCTGCTTGTGGGAGGTAAAAGTACGCACTTTGCAGCGTTCCTGCCACTGACGAGGCAGTGGGCAAAACGGCAAAGCGTTTGACCTTGTAGGCTGCCTCTTTGCCACTATTCTACAAGATCCTTGATTCAACATGTGTACTCCATACTAGTAGGTTGGAGGCCATCACTTGTAGGTTGGAGGCCATCTCTATTAGGTTGGAGGCAATCGCTAGTGGGTTGGAGGCCATCGCCAGTAGGTTGCAGGTCATTGCTAGGGTGGAGGCCGTTGCTATTAGGTTGGAGGCCATCGCTGGTAGGTTGAAGACCATCGCTAATAGGTTGGAGGCCATTTCGTAGTAGGTTGGAGGCCATCACTATTAGTTTGTCGGAGGCCATCGCTATTTTCTTTCTTCGATCGACTCTGTTATTTCATGTCATGTTTTTAATGTGTACTCTGTCTCTGGATCTTCATTTCAAACCAATCGAGACTTGCGTGTCCACGACTGGGTCCTCCAACTGTGGCTCTCATATGTGCATATATTGGCTACCAGGGGCCCTCAAAACCATGAAAAACAATGGTGTTCATATTGTGTTTTTATGTTTTTTTTGCTAGGAAAAACAAGGTTTTGGATGGTTTTGAGGGCCTCTGGTACATACACCCTCTTGGATCCTTTTGGTCTTTGAACAAACCAGGCTGCACATGGTCCTCGCACATTCCCGACACGGCTTTGCCTTTCTTCACCTGGAGAATTCCACGCCACAAATAAGATGTTTTAAGGGTCAACGTACTTGACTTAATTGGGTCAACACACAACAATCTTTGTATCCACTAGATCACTCTCCAATCGACAGGATGTCATCCACACGGTACGCCCGCGTATGTTGAAACGGTGTCCAATTTCAAACTCCTATATAATATAGGATACATAATTACCCTGGGATTCCTGGGATTGCAACAATAATTTATTTTCCATGGTCTATACCAAACAACCATTGACTGAGAAATGTTCACTACCAAACCAGGTCTGACGGTCAACCATTTGTTTGATGGTCTTTGAAGGCTAGGGATTATACAAGAAACCACGGTTTCTAAGTCTTTGGTGCCTGTCTTTGGAACCACTGGGTCCACTTATAAGACTGTGTGGGGTGCGGCACAAGGCATTCCAGCCACAAAATCTTCAAGGGGGCCCAATAGACAAAATCATGATGAGGAATCATGGCATGGGAAACAAAAAACACTGCAAAATGAGCAAAGCGGGAAACACAAGTCCAATC